TCAGAGAAAGTTGTTCCCTGACTTCTGTAGGGAGCCTGGTTACTATTGAAGGGCATTGTCTGACCCCCAAAGCAGGTCTGGTCACCAGTGGGGGTCATCATCTGACCCCAGGTGAAGGCTTGGTCACCCCAGGAAGCGACTGGACAGTCTTCCAATTGGGTTTGGTTGCCACTGAAGTTCATCACGTGACCCTCTTCAAGAGGTGCCATCTGGCTTCCGTTTTGAGGAGTTTGATGATGACCGATTGTGTTTCTCTGGCTGCCTTCATTGGAGACTGTCACCTTGCTTTCTGTGGCTGTTGCAGTCTGCCAATCATCGAGGAGTGGCTTGGCGCTATCACTGGCATCTGTTTGCTGAGAGCCTGCTGTGGGCGCCATCTCATCAGCAGGCACAGCTTGTTGGCATGATATAGGAACAGCCTTATTTGGCCCTGCAGGAGGCACAGCAAGGACTCTTCCAGGGTGGGTTGAGTTGTGAGTAAGCCCCATCTGGGGGTTACTCGGAGATTCAGAGGTCACTGCGGTGGAACCACAGGAAGCCATGGCTCTGGGCTGGCTTATGCTGGGGGCAGTGAGTGGCGTGCAGAGCTGAGGTTGAGAGCTGGAGCTTTGGCCTGGTTCTGACATGGCAGGAAGATTTAGGGAAACTCAAGTTCTTCAGATGCTTGGGGGATGGAGTTAGGCTTTTTGAGGAACTACATTTTCAGTTGTGAGGACCTAGAAAGAAAAACAGAAGGTCAAGCAGTCCTCGCTCAAATCCCAGTGTTTACCTCACTCTTCGTCCTCACCAATGCCATGTTACTCCATCCCACCATCATTTCTTACTTAGAAGAGTGTTACTGCCTCTCAAATGGCCTGCCTGACTCGAGTTGACTGCTCACTGCATTCCTTCACACACACACACACACACACACACACACACACACACACACACACACAGAGTGATATCTCTAAAGGATGAACCTGTGTTGTTCCCATCTACCAGACAATGACGGAATCTAAAGGAAGCAAGAACAGCCTCCAAATCCCTACAGATCTAAGCAGAAACTTGCAAATGCCCTGTTTCTCCAGACATTTTAGTAGAGATCTAGTTAAATGAATAAATCAACTTTTGAGGGAATTCAAACATTTCTACCAGTGACCCCAGGAGCTAGGAGTCACAGCTATTAATGCTTTCAAAGAGAAAAGAGCTCCACGTAGTGGCGCACCCCTAAGTATAGCTACAAAAGTATTAAAAGACTGGAGACTTGACAACCAGCAAGCTAACTTTACAACTTGGCAATTATCAAAATAAAATAAACTCAAAGATGGCAAAGAAGGAATTAAGATCCGAGCAGAAATAATCTAGTCAGCTAAAATGAAAACCGATTCTTTGAAAAGAACAACATTGGCAAACCTATAGGTAAAGGAAAAGGGAGTGGGAGGGAGGGGGAAAGATGGATCAGCCGGTAAAGGTCCTCTCAGCCAAACCCACACGGTGGGTGATAGAGGAAACTCAGTTCCCAGCACCCCTGTGGCTGCTAACAGCTGTCTGTGTAACTCCAGTTCCAGAGGATCTGATGCCCCATTCCGGCCCTCCCAGGTGTTGCATATGGCAGGCAAAATACTCATGCAAATAAAATAGAAATGAGCCGGGCGGTGGTGGTTCACGCCTTTAATCCCAGCACTCAGGAGGCAGAGGCGGGTGGATCTCTCTGAGTTCCGAGGCCAGCCTGGACTACAGAGTGAGTTCCAGGAAAGGCACAAAGCTACACAGAGAAACCCTGTCTCGAAAAACCTAAATAAATAAATAAATAAATAAATAAATAAATAAATAAATAAATAAAAAAAGAAATGAAATGGAATATTCTTTTAAAAAGATTGTGTTTCTGTACCACAAAGATACATGCTCAACTATGTTCATAGCAGCACTATTTGTAATAGCCAGAACCTGGAAACAACCTAGATGCCCATCAACTGAAGAATGAATTAAAAAATGTGGTACATGTACACAATGGAGTACTACTCAGCAGAGAAAAACAATGAAAGCATGAAATTTGCAAGCAAATGGATGGAACTAGAAAAAAATCATCCTGAGTGAGGTAACTTACCCAAACCCAGAAAGACAAACATGGTATGTACTCAATCATAAGTGGATTCTAGATATAAAATAAAATACAATCAGACTACAACCCATAGAACCATGGAGGCTATATATATAGCATGGAGGACCCTAGGACAACTGTGGCTTATAATAAATTTTGGTTTTACTCAATTACTGAGCAAGCCTCAATGAAACATTTCACTATTAAGATAAGAATATACTGTATCAAGCTGATAATAGAAAAATAAATAAATTAATTTTAAAAAATAAAAAAAAGAAAAGAAAAATTTGAAATATTAAAAAACAAACAAACAAACACATTTTACCAAAGTAAAAAAAGGGGGAACTAGGGACTCATCATTCCTCTCCACATTCTATTCTTTTCCTTGTTTTATATATTTTAAATTTTTTATCAGTGGATTCTGCTAGAGTATCCGCTGCAGATAAGCACTGGAGGGCTCCTGTTGCAAATCACCCTCTGGAGCGATGGAAGGATCTTTCTACTAGCACTTGGAGGAAACCTGATCTAGTGTTGGTGTGGGTGCAGGGTTCTGTTTATGTCTTTCCTCAGGACAATGAGGTTCCTCTTTGGATTCCTGAGCGCTGTGTGTACTCTGTGGCTGCTGCTGAAGCCCAACATGACAGAGACCTATTGGGTCTTCATGAAAAACTCTACCCTTCTGATGCCAATGGGGATTGAGAGCCCAATATGGCCAGCTTTGGCAAGCATTATTGTAAGCCTAGGAACTGTAGCCATGATGTTGGATTCTCCGGAAGAGCTGCCAGTTTAAGTCGTGCTGGGATCAAGAAAAATGGGCCTTGACGGTTTGTGTTCCTGGAGTTGTATCCATGCCAGTGGATGTCCACACACTCCAGAAGAGAATTTGACATTGCTGCTGCCACTGTTGCTGTTATAGCAATGGCGGCCACCACTGCTACCATTTCATAATTGCTTACTACAGCTAGCACAGTGGAGACCCTGGCAGCAAAAGTAGCTACCACAGTTAGTTAATCTTTCATTCTATAGGGCATGATAAATTTAATTCAATAGTTATATACATTTCAATTGGCTTTGAAAATTATAAATTTATAAACTCAAGTTCCACTTGCTTTTGGGATACCATCTTACAAGGACTCCAATTTGCCGTAAGGCTCATTAAGGAAGGGAATGGCTCAGTTGTCTTTAGCTTATTGGCTATGGGTGGGATAGGACCTATGTCGGTCTTTTCTGTGTCGAACACACAGATTGCAAGCCCAGTGCCACTTTGAGATCTTTGGCAGCAGTTAACTCTGCAGCTCACACACCTGTATGATAATGAATATTCAGACAGGTAATGCCTGGGGGGCACTCACCAACCTAAGACAGCACCTGTATGGCCTGGGCAGGCGTCTACATGACAGGTAAGGTGACCTGCTGATGTCCCATGCAACCTAAGTCAGAAACTCATTTATTAGTAAAAGGGGAACCTGTAGGGCCCTGGCTCCCGTTTTGGGTAACTGTTGCCTTGCTTGCTTACCTTGACCTTGATATCCTCCCTATGCTAATTCCCTGCC